AAGCATTACTTGTAAAGGGGATAAGCTACAAGCTTTCTCAATAAGATCAGGGGTGAAACAAGGATGCACATTATCACCACTATTGTTCAATATTGTACTAGGAGTGTTAGCTTTAGCAATAAGAGAAGAAAAGTAAACTGAAGGAATTAGAATAGGCAAAGAAGAAACAAAAGTATCACTCTTTGCAGATGATACAATGGTATACGTAGAGACTCCTAGAGAATCAAGTAAAAAAACTAGGTGAAATAATTAACAACTTTAGCAAAGTTACAGGACATAAAATCAACCCACATAAATCATTAGCATTTCTATACAGTACCAACAAAGTACAGCAGCAAGAGACAGAAATTTCATCTAAAATAATTGTAGACAATATAAAATATTTGGGAATCTACCTGCCAAGACAAACCCAGAAACTTATGAACACAACTACAAAACACTTTCACACAAAGTCAGATCTAAACGATTGGAAAAATATCAAGTGTTCATGGGCAGGTCAGGTTAATATAATAAAAAATGACAATTCTATTTAAATTAATTTACTTATTCAGTGCCATACCAATCAAACTACCAAAAAATTATTTTAAAGAGCTAGAAAAAAATAACAAAATTCATCTAGAAAAACAAAAGATCAGGAATATCAAGTGAACTGATGAATAAAAGCAAAGGAAGGTGGCCTAGCCGTAGCAGATCTAAAACTACCCTATAAAGCGTTAATTATCAAAACTGTTTGGTACTGGCCAAGAAATAGAGTGGTAGATCGGTGGAATAGGTTAGGTACACAAGACACAACAGTCATTGACTATAGTTATCTACTGTTTGATAAACCCAAAGACTCCAACTTCTGGGATGAGAACACACTATCTGACAAAAACTGGTGGGAAAACTGAAAAACAGTATGGCAGAAACTACACAAAAACCAACATCTCACACCGATATACTAAGATAAAATCAAAATAGGTACATGATTTACACAAAAAGGCAGATACCATAAGAAAACCAGGAGAGCAAGGAACAGTTTACCTCTTAGATTTATGGAGAAGGGAAGAATTTATGACCAAACAAGAGACATAGCACATTATGAAAAGCAAAATTGATAATTTTGATTACATCAAATTAAAAAGGTTTTGCACACACACAAAAAAAAGGCCAATGCACCCAAGATTAAAAGGAAAGCAGAAAACTGGGAAAAAAATTTTACCGCCAGTGTTTCTGATAAAGGCCTCATTTCTAAAATATTTAGAGAACTGAGTCAAATTTATAAGAATACAAGTCATTCCCCAACTGATAAGTGGTCAAAGGATATCACCAGGCAATTTCCAGATGAAGAAATTAAAGCTATCTATAGTCCTATGAAAAAATGCTCTAAATCACTATGGATTAGAGAAATGCAAATTAAAACAACTCTGAGGTACCACCTTACACCTATCAGATTGGCTAATATGACAAAAAAGGAAAATGATGAATGTTAGAGAAGATATGGGAAAATTGGAACACTAATGCATTGTTGGCAGAGTTGTAAACTGATCTAACCATTCCAGAGAACAATTTGGAACTATGGCCAAAGGGCAACCAAACTGTGCATACCCTTTGACCCAGCAATACCACTTTTAGGACTGTATCCCAAAGAGATCATAAAAAAAGGAAAGGACCCACATGTACAAAAATATTTATAGTAACTCTTTCTGTGGTGGCCAAGAATTGGAAATTGAGGGAATGTCCATCAATTGGGTAATGGCGGAACAAGTTACGGTATATGAATGTAATAGAATACTATTGCTCTATAAGAAATGATGAACAGGCTGACTTCAGAAAAACCTGGAAAGACTTAATGAACTGATGCTGAGCGAAGTGAGCAGAACCAGGAGAACATTGTACATAGTAACAGCAATATTGTGCAATGATCAACTATAACAGACTTAGCTCTTCTCAAAAATACAATGATCCAAGACAATTCCAAAAGACTTATGATGGAAATGCTATCCACATACAGAGAAAGAACTATGGAATCTGAATGTGGATCAAAGCATACTATTTTCACTTGTTTTTTGTTTTTTCTTTCTCATGGCTTTTCCCTTTTGTTCTGATTCTTCTTTCACAACATGACTAATGTGGGAAAATTTTTAACATGACTGTATATGTATAACCTATATCAGAATGCTTGCTATCCTGGAAAGGGAGTATGGGGGTGGGAGGGAGGGAGAAAAATTTGGAACTCAAAATCTTATAAAAATGAATGTTGAAAACTATCTTTACATGTAATTGGAAAAAAATAAAATACTATTAAGGAAAAAAGTCAGGGGGAAATCTATAAGAAAAAAAGAAAAAAAACTCCCACTATGATGATCGGCATCCTTTCTTCAATCTGAATGAATAAATGAAAAAGCACTTATTAAACACTGACTATTTTCCAGGAATTGTGATAAATACCAAGGACAAAATATTTAAAAGAGAAAGAGAGGGTCTTGCCCTAAAGAAAGTTACTCTCTTATAGGTGAAGACTACACATAAAGTGGAGTGGTGACCAGGAAAAGATATTTTGCTCTGTGGTGGTAGAAAGGGGGTGAGGTAAACAAGCAAATGGTGAAATATCTGAGTGAATAACTAGATGGAATGTGAAGTGGACACAAACCAATAGATGAATTGGGGTTTCTTTCAGGTTACCTGGTGGATTCTTCTTGTTTTCACTTTGTCCTCCATTTCTAAGAACATGATTTCTTGAAATATGATCTGTAGACTCTTTTTTGTTACAATTTTTAGGTAGTTCTTTGATTCTTAAACTGTTCCTCGTTCATCTTTTTTTCAGGTCAGTTATTTTTTAAATGGAATACCTTATATTTCCTTCTATTTTCCTCCTGTTCTTTGACTTTGTTTTAATATTTCCTGTTTTCTCAGAGTTATTAATCCCCATTGGTCCATTCTAATTTTCTAGGAAGATGTTAACTTTTGTTAATTTCATACAAGGCTCAAGGAAGTTAAACAACTTACTCAAGGTCACACAGCTAACAAGACAAGGAGGCAGGACTCTAAGTGGGGTCTCTCCTGACTTTAAGTCCAGTGCTCTTGCCATTAAGACTATAGAGATTCTTACTAGTATGCAATCACAGGCAACACACTATAATTCTCCAAGATTGTTTCCTCATCTAATAATAATAACAATAATAACGACTATTTATATAGTGCTTTCAGGTATGTAAAGAACTTTACATTCTACCTCACTTGATCCTCACAATGACCCTGAAAGGTAGGTGCTATTACTCCCATTTTACAGATGAGGAAATTGAGGCTGAAGGGAAAGGGAAAGAACTAAGTATTTATAACAGCACCTAATGGCAGCCACTGTTCTAAGCCATTTTTACAAATACTACTTCAGTTGATCCTCACAATAACCCTGTGAGGGAAGTGCTATTATTATCCACATTTTACAGTTGATGAAACTGAGGCATAGAGGTTAAGTGATTTGTCCAGGGCCATTGAGCCAGTAAGAGTGTGAGGCAGAATTAGAAATAGGTCTTCCTCACTCCAAGTCCAGCCCTCCAGGTGCTGGACCACCTAACTAACTCAAGTACAGAATGGGGAAATAACACTTGTACTGTCTACCTCATGGGGGTGTTCTGAGGATCAAATGAGATGAAACATTCAAAGAGCTAGGAATTTGGAAAGAACCCTATAAATGACATTTATTATGTATTACTTAACCTAGATAACATACAGAACTAAAAATTCGAAAAGGTCCAACAAGCCTGAAAAACACAGTACTTCCAAGAAAGTTTTATATACCTAACATCACTGATCCACGGTGTGGTACTCTGGGCTTTTTCAATTTTGGGGTGCTCAAGTCCTTTCCATTTCACTGTTGGACACGGATACTACACCAAATTGTCCACTAGTCTGACCCAATAAAAAAAATTTAGGAAGTATGGACAAGGAATCAAAAAAACCTGGACTTTGGTCCCCGTTACATCACTCAGGGTAAGTCATTTATCCTACACAGATTTCAATTTCCTCATGTATTCGAGAAAACAACAACAACAACAACAACAACAAAAACATCTTAGAGGTAAGTGACAAAATATTGAATTAGGTGACTCCTAAGATCCTTTCCAGCTCCAGCTCCAGGACTATGATTTATTTGGGACCTATTTTGCTTAAGACATTAACAGAGTAAAAGGATCTCAGTAGCTTCCCCACCTATTAAATGAAGCCACAGAAACCCACATCCCCTGAGTCACTAGCCAGAATGAGGCCTGCAATAATGTTTGAAAGGGGAGTCTGAATATCAACTAGCCCCAATTCCTGAGGCATTTTCCATAGTATGTGTCAGCACCAGTTCTAGAAGCATAACCTTCATACCAAGTGCAGTCTCCCTGTTTCCTTCCCACAATGTCTATTCCTGATTAACTTGCATTAAAAAAAGAAAACTATGAAAACCCACCAGGCTGTTTGGTACTCCCTTCCAGGCACTCCTGGATTTGACCTGTTTTTACTCTCCCTGCAAGACCCACCCCTTTAGGAGTCATTTCTCTCTGCTACCTCCTGTCGTCTTGTGATGCTCCATCTTCCCACCCCTCCAGTTCTCTCCTTCATGAGCATCAGCCATAGACTAGGCACTGGCCCAACAGTCTTGGCAGTTACCCGTACTTCCCAAGGCACAGCTTAGGGCTAATAGGCTGGGGATAGAAATCTCTGTCCCAATAGGGGGAGGACATCCTCCATCCTTTCCAAACAGGAAACCATGTGGCCCATGAGGTCTTCCCTTTGGCAACATAAGTGGCACATAAAGGAGATTGCCTTCCCCCACCCCATGTACTGTCCTGGAATCCCAAACCTCAAATTATACTAAGACATTAAGAATGATACAAAAAGTACAGGCATTTCTATTTTTTATGAAAGAACTGAAATGAGCCAGAAAAGTCACCAAAATGTTTAAATCTACGTTTCCTATACCTTTGCAAACACATCTTAAATCATTTGGAAAAATAGCAAAAACAAATATATACCTTTTAGTGCTGTAGTTTTTTCTTTTTCATCCGGACCTCCCTGCTGGAGTTGTGCCATGTTTATCCAAAGTGTCAACCAAATTAAAGAAATGATGGAAATGGACATCAATTCTCAGAAGAGAGTCTAGAATGAACCAAAGTAATAAATTAGCTAGTTTTAAATGTTATTTGGTTTCCCATGTCATTTGATGTCAGTTTAAGAATTCTAAACAAAATTTAGAATTTATTTGCAAATAAAACAATAACTTCTAAAATTTAAAATAAAACAGAAATTGCAGATGTTTACTATGCTTTTATAAAGTCACAATTAAGTAAATACCTTCCCCATTTCTTGAACTATATTAAACCAACAAGAAGCATTTATTAACCACTTACTATGTGCCAGCCCATTGTGAAAATAAAGACAAAAATGAAACAGTGCTTGCCCTCAAAGAGTTTACTTTCCATTGGAAGAGAAAAAAAAATACATATGAAAGTAACATTTTATATACATATATACATAAAAAATACAGGTTAATCTGGAGAGGAGGCACTAGAAACTGGGGAGTAGGGCAGGAAGGCCTCATGTAGGAGGTGGCATTTGATCTGAGCTTTAAAGGAGAATAAAGATTCTAAGAGGTGGAGATAAGGAGGATGCACATTTCAAGCATGGAGAACAGCCTGTTCAAAGTTCCTGAGAATGAAGATAGAGATTGAGTATAAGGAATTTGATTCTCAAAGCAAAAAAAAAGCCACTGAAGTTTACTGAGAAAAGTATGTGACCTTCAAAACAGAAGTGTATGCTACTAGTAAAGTTACAGCTGAGCCTAGATCCCCTAAGCCATTCTCCAATAAAGATGGGAAAAGGAGGCTAGCTAAAATAATGAGCAATAAAACAAAAACACCAGTAAACTGCTCTATCCAGTCTAGGATAGCAGAATAGACCATCTCCCTGTACCACTCTCAATCCTGCCTCCCCAAAGGCCACTCACTGCCCAAGAATATAAGAGAGACAATGGAGGGGACAGGGAAAAGGAAAGAAGGGCAGTATTAAGAGAGAGGGGAGTGCTGAGGAAATAGAACAAACATCAGCTACATGACAGAGTAGGAATCAAAAGGAAAGAAAGAAAGTATAAGAATCAATGATAGAGGTCTGAGCTTCCTTCTAGAGAGGAAAGACAGATGAATGGGTTTTCAAACCACTCCAAATATCAATTATTGAATGTTAATTCCATTGATTTTCTTTCCCCAGCTCGTTTTTCTTTGTATAGTGAAAGGGTCAGACATGAAAAAAGTTACAGAAAATTATGATGAAAAAATACACAATTAATAATTACTTATAACAATAAATGTGAATGAAACTAATCACTCATAAAACAGAGGATAGAAGAATAAATGGGAAAGAAGAATCTAACAATATACTGCTTACAGTATATCATACTTAAAACATGAAGACAAAGATAGTAAAAGTGAAAAGATATTATGTATTAAATGAAACCAAAAAAGCAGGGGTGGCAGTCATGAACTCAGAAAAAGCAAACAGAATTTAAAGAGATAAGGAGGGAAACTATATTACATTTAAAGATATCATAAACAATGAAGTAACAGGACTGGATCTGGGATTTCAACAGTATGAGGTACTTCCTGTTGACAAAACTCTACCAATGTAGATCATTACCTTCTCTCAAAGTACATTTCTGAGAGTTGCCTGGAGCACTGATAGGAGGCTAAAGGACTTGCCCAGAATCTTCCTGGCTTCAAAAATGACACTAACCACTTAGCTATGATGCTTCTCAAAAAACTGATATATCAATACTTGATATACATGTACCAAATGCTACAACATCTAAATACATAAAGGAAAAGCTAATCAAACCATAGAGAAAAACAGCCAGCAAAACTATAATTGCTGAGAACCTCAATGTATTCTAATCAGAGCCAGAGAAAAATAACAAAGATAAACAAGAAATTACAGACTTGAACAGCATTTTATAAAAGTTAGATGTGATAGCTTTCTAAAGATTACTGAATGGGAAATGAAAGGAGTATAAATGTTTCTCAACTATGACTCAGATCTTTACAAACACTGACCACATACTAGGACATAAAAATCTGATAAGCAAATGCAGAAAAAGTAGAAATATTAGACATCCTTTACGGATTACGCAATACAATAAAAATGCATAATAATAACTCTGAGTCTCAGAAGAAGAAATAAAAACTTAAATGAAGGCTAATTAATATAATCCTAAGAAATTGTTAAATCAAAGTACAAATCATAGGAACAATAATTTCATCAAAGAAAATGATGATGAAAAACCATAAATTAAAAAAAAAAATTTGGAATGGATCCAAAGTAGTTACTTGGGGAAAAACTTATATCTTTTAACATTTTCATCCCACAAAAGAAACAGACATAAGAAATTGGCCATGTAACTAAAAACAAACAGAAAAGTAACTAATTACAAAAGAAAATAAATAGAAAAATAGAAATTATGAAAATCAAACCTAATGGATATCTTAAGCTTAGGAGTTCTGAGTTGCAGAACTGGATTCTGCACCAATATGGTAAGCCCCCACAAACAAGGATACTGCCAGATTACATAAGGCAGATTAATTGACCCAGGTTTGAAATGGAACAGGTCAAAGTCCATAGCGGCATTAGCCTACGAACAATTCCATGCATTCCAGCATCCCATTCCAAGATGGGGAGTTTTTTTTTAAAAAGTAATAATAAAAATTAATTTATTCAAAAGCAGCTCTGTACTACTACAATCGAAATCTGCTATTTTGGCCTAATGGTAAAAAAACTATGAACCACAATCACAAGGCTCCAAAAGGAATAAGCTTCCTAGAAAAAAAACAAGTCACTTATCCTTGAAGTAAAAACAAAAAATAATACAAAGAAATTGGAACCCATGTAATTATTAGACTCTTATCTCCAATGAAATTATGTAAATATCATCAAAAAACAAAATAAAAGTAGACTAAACAGTTTTTATTTTAGTAACTCAATTCATTGCCACCAAGAAAGCAAACTTCAGTTCCTATCACTTATGTGTCAATCACTTATGTGACCTATTTTCAGGTTGAGGCCTTTTTTAATGACCAATAAAGTAAATGAAAAATGTTAATGGATAATAATAATAATAAACCACATAAAGCAGCTTGATATTAGCTATGATCCTAGATATATTTCTAAATTATTTTAATTTATATACTCTAGATACATGAGTAAAAGTAATATTTATTAAAAAGATAAACGTCCAAAATATTCAAAAAACAAGCTTACCCTCACAACAATGGAATGGTATGAAGTGCCCTTACAGATAGAACTAAAATGTGAAACATCACAGATTTTGGTCAGGTAAGGATTTCATTTAGAATGGAAGAAACTGCAGCCATTCTTTAATAATGACCTAACAATATATATCTGTGTTTTTTAACTTCAGTGCAAACATGTCTACAGAAAACAATGAACATTGAAGATTTTAATTTTTAAAATTTTGCATGTTTGGATTTTTTTTAACCTAGGTTTGTAATTTCATTGCTGTGGGAAGTATTTCCATTGATATAGATCAGGCAGTACTTGAATCCTGCTCTCCCAGATGCCTATTTCAACTATTCCACACTGCCTTCGATAGAAAAAGAGAAGAGAACTTACAAGAGAAACTTTGTGACATTCAAGGTAAGTGTGAAGGCCAATGTAGTTGTTTCATGGGTTGTATGTTATCACTGCACTGGAATGCACAAAATATAAAAAGCAGCAAAGGAAGGCCCCCAGTATATTGAATAGATCTTTCCTGGAAGGTCTACAGAAAAACAGTGACAAAAATCACAATAGGAAGTCATAAATAAAGAATGATTTGTGGTAGGTACCAAGTACCTCCACTGATGACATCAAAGAGCCAAAATATTTAAGTACGCAGTTTATATATAAATTTCACTATTAACCATCTTTCTTGCCACAAATCATTTTTTAGCAGAAACAAAGGAGGATCCTAATAACAATAGTGACTCTAAGTATACTGTTGTAACTACTACAGGGATAAATTTGCCTATATAAAATCTTACAAATTACAGTTAGATTACAGTATACGTTTTTACTCGCCTCATGCCAGGCTAACATTTCTTCTAATAAATAACTACACAGTTTAGAATTCATATAAATGCAGGATTTCAAAAAAATTCTTTGTATATTGGCCCCCAAATAAGCATATTTCTCAATAAAGAAACATGTTATTAAAGCTGATTTCCAGAGCAAAAGGGGAATTTCAACCATTGGTACTATTTGGTTTTAGTGTCATGTTACTAACTTTAAATAATGGAATACAATCCAAGGATTAAACAGTAATTATTAATATTTTACTCTAAATTAGACAACACATGCTTAAAGGTGCACACATCAATTCACTGTACTTAAGCTTATGAAGAAATAAATTAGGCAGTTACTAATTATTCTACCTCTGACCTTGGACCTGATAGCAGTCAAAGCAAAGCAGCTCAGCAAGAAGCAAAAGTAATTTGTCTGTTATCCTTTTACTTGTTGTGTTTTGTTTTGACCATCTTCGGTTGTTTTCCAGAGCTGTGGCACTGCTGGTGGGGCTAAATCAAGAACATTATAAATTCTCAATTTAGTTTTCCTAATAAAAATTCAGAGTTATAACCTGCATGACCACATATAAACACTCCCTAAAATGCAGCTAGCGAGCAGTTTGATATATCTGATATATACTAATACTTGACAGAGTTTATTTGGCATTATCTGATGGAGGTTAGGTTATAGGGAATAAAGGAGCAGAAGGTTTTTACTGATGTGAATTGGGACACAGTTGACATGCTGTATAGTTCATGATAACTACTACTGTTTAAATATAGTTTTGCTAGGAACGGTTACACTACAAACTAGATTCAAAACATCTCAGTTTGGGATTTCATTCTATGAACTACACAAAGCAATTATCGTATCCTCTTTCCGTCTATGACTCCAACAGAGAATCCACTATGTATAAATAAAGCTATAAATAACTTGTTGTGTAATCTTGATCTAGTAAGCATTTCAAAACACAGAATGATAGAATATTTCTTGGGTACCCTATTTGCACAGCATCTTGCCAAAGCACTTGAAAAGTATACAGAATATAT